GTGGTGTGTGTGTGTGTGTGTGTGTGGTGTGTGTGTGTGTGTGTGTGTGGGGTGCATGTTTTCCTAGGGAGTGGAGAACACATCTAGCTCAGCTTGACCTGGGGCCCCTTCACTTTGTGCTCTGTGGAGGAGGGGGGGTGCACTGGGCAGGGAGGGGGAGGTGGGGAAGAGTGAGCGAGTCTCTGCTGGGCTGTCCTTGGCCGAGGTGTTTCCCGGAGTTAAATCTTCATGATACTTAGAACACAGCGTCGTCGCAGTTCACAGGCTTTAGCTCAAGGTTACGTTGTCTTGAGTTTCAAGTTACATAAGGTAGCAAGAGACTTAGTTACTTCAGTGGGTTCTTCCTCCTCCTCCTCCTCCTCCTCCTCCTCTTCTTCTTAGTTGGAATTAGTTAATGGTAAGTATTGTTGTTTATCCTTTAGCTTTGCATTTGTTGGTGCTTTTTTTTTCTTTTTTCCCCTCAGGCAATCCTATCACTGATTTTTACCACTTCCCTTTGGAGGGCATATTTGCTCTGTAAATATAATTGCTCACTTCACCTACTACTGTTTGCCCCTCCCCCCCTTTTTAGCGCCTGCAGCTCCTTATAACCATTATTATTCATTCAGATATCTTTGGTGCTTGCGGCCAAGCCTGGTGACCTGAGTTTGATCTCTAGGACCCAGTGGTGTAAGGACAGAAATGAATCCTGCCTGTGGTCCTCTGACTGCCAGAGGAATGTGGGCGTGCACATGGACACACACAACAACACTTCCAGAGGAATGTGGGCGTGCACATGGACACACACAACAACACTTCCAGAGGAATGTGGGCATGCACATGGACACACACACACACAACAACAACACTTCCAGAGGAATGTGGGCGTGCACATGGACACACACACACACAACAACAACACTTCCAGAGGAATGTGGGCGTGCACTTGGACATACACACACACAGCAGCACTTCCAAAGGGACATAGACGTGCACATGCACACACTTGTGTACCCACAACAGCAACAACAGACAACGCAGTAGAAACTGTCCAGGGGAGGAGCACAAACAGTGCTTGTTATCGTGAGCAGGGCTGGACTCCGTTGGTTCCAGGGGGAGTGTCTCTGGTCTAAAGTCTTGGGATTAGAAGTGTCTGACTTTGGATTGTTTGTGTAGACTTGACTGGTTGATTCTGTGACACTCCAGAATGGGAAGTTTTTGAGTGGATTTGTGGATTAGAGATGCTCAGACTGAAGCACCATTATCCAGTTGGTCAAGGGCGGGCATCTCTCCGTCTATCCAATCTCTTTGTCACCCTTTTTCATGTAGTACTGAATTAGCCTCTTTCTTACTCCTGTGTTGTTGTTTGTTTTAACTCTTTGCTCTTTGGGGGGCCCGCCACCCAGCTCCCAGATAAATCACACGGAGTCTTTTTACGGCTTATGAATGCCCAGCCTTAGCTTGGCTTATTTCTAATCAGCTTTTCCTAATTATACCAGCTTTTCTTAAAATTATACCTTTTTTCTCTGGGCTTTTAACTTTCTCTATTCTGTATACCTTTCTTTACTTCTTGCCCCGTGGCTGGCTGTGTAGCTGAGTGGCTGGCCCCTTGCATCCTCCTCTCCTCCTTTTTTTCAATCCTTGATCTTTTCCTCCCAGATTTCTCCTATTTATTCTCTCTGCCTGCCAGCCCTGCCTATCCTTTCTCCTGCCTTGCTATTGACCGTTCAGCTCTTTATTAGACCATCAGGTGTTTTAGACAGGCACAGTAACACAGCTTCACAGAGTTAAACAAATGCAATGTAAAAGAATGCAACACATCTTTACATCATTAAACAAATGTTCCACAGCATAAGCGAGTGTAACACATCTTAAAATAATATTCTGCGCTGGGTGGTGGTGGCACATGCCTTTAATCCCAGCACTCGGAAGGCAGAGGCAGGTGGATCTCTGTGAGTTCGAGGCCAGCCTGGGCTACCAAGTGAGTTCCAGGAAAGGCGCAAAGCTACACAGAGAAACCCT